AAGAACCAAGATCCATCATGTCCAGGTACAAGCACCCAATGATAAATGTAAATGTATTGTATACCTAAAATGGACCAATAAAAGAATTTAAGCAAAAAAAATGCATTAAAGGGCATAAACCTTCAAGTTCATGAAGATTCTAGAGTAAAGAACATGCTAACTTATCACCATGGGGGTTTGCTGTGGAACCAGACTGTTATTTTGAAAACTGATAGAGGATCAATCAATCAAACATTACCTCAAGTTTCTGTAGGAATTGTATCAGCGAAAGGCTCAGTGATGCAGGGAAAATGCCCTGTGTTGGAGTCCTCCAGCCTAGAAGCGAGAAAAGCACGTGAGAATGAGAACAGTAACTGCTTTACAACTGCTAGAAATCAGATGGACCAAATCGTTGATCAGCATCGGCTGCTCACATCACAGGTGGAGGTTGGCAGGCATCCTATGCTCCAGACTGAAGGACAGAGTAACTGTGGAAGCAATCTTATGGGGAAAAATCAAACCTCAGTCTGACCATGCCTTTAAACCCTCTTGTCTCTTTTAAAAATTAATTTGATTTGTACACTTCTGATACACGTAATGATCCCATTCATCCCAGAGAATCTGCACCTGTACGTAATGTATCTGGATTCTTCTTGTGTCCCAGTTTCCTCCCCTCCCTTCAACTCTTCTTCCCCTCCTTATTTAAACATTCCTGTTTCCATTTCTCCTGCTATTCTCTTTTTTCCTTTTCCCTTTCTTTCCTTCCCTTTCCCCTCCCTTGTTCTTCTTCCCATTTGAACATTTCCTTCCTACTTCCCAATATGTTGTGTGTGGGGAATTCAGAGGACCATGCTAAATGCCATCACACAGTTTCAGACATCAAAATCCAGAGTCTGGGAAACTATATCGGGGAAATGTGCTGATATTTTAACAAATAAATGGAGAAGGAAACAAAGAAATAGAGGAGGGCTGCAGGAGATGTTCGATTGGAAGAGACTTAGAGCCTTGTGCTCTCTCCGCACTCGGCCTCCGCTGTGTTTTCTCTCTAACATCTCTTTCCCCGTCCTTCTCCCCATTTTTCCTTTCCTCTCACACACTGCTCTGCTTGTTCTTTCTGATGACCCATCCTGCCTTCACTGAGACCAGAATGTCAGGCCAGCCACCTGCCTGTGACAGTGAATGAAGACGGGAAGTTAACAGCTCAGCGGACACAGGAGTGGGGCTGTGTGCTCTCTTTCTCTTTAAGAGAAATCGCACTGCGCACACGAATGACCTGGTATTTATTCTTCTGTCATGGACAGGTATGCTCAGTCCGAGTGTAGTAAAATATGAATGCTCTCCATAGCAGAAATGGCCTGATACAGAGGGAATGACTAAAATGCCTTTGCCTAATTGTTTACCCCAAATAATACAGGGACAATATCCTGCCATCCTAAGAGAGAGTGATTGAATTAAAGATCTCATTTTGGAAACAAAAAGACAAAGTTTACAGGGAAACACAGATGAAAGTGATCTAAGATTATAACGCTCTATTTCCAGCTTTCAAACACTGTAAGAATAAGGAAAATGAGCAATCCATAGGGCAGAATTCACAACGTCCTGTTCTCACGTAGCCTCAATGCAGCTGAGTATAATGTTTCTTGGGAAATTTCCTTCCCTAGAAAGTTTGATTCAATACAGAGAAAGCATGATGTGGGTGGAGAGGCCATGAGAGTGAGTGCCTGGAAGGAAAGCGGAGTGCTTCCATGGTTTACAGGAGGATTTCCTAAAGGAGGGACTGTGGGAAGTGTGGCAGGAAGAAAGAGGAGGAACAGGAGATGGGAGAGGCTGGAGACCTCCAACTGCAGGAAGTCCTCACTGCGTCAGGGGTCCTTCCTGTTTACCTGCAGGGGACATGACCCTGCCTGCATCACAGTTCTGGGGGGCAGGGCAGGAGCAGCCTACCCCCATTGACTGAATCCACTTCCTGGTTGGGGCTGCGAGCCCACGTGCTGTTGTCCGCCAGAGTGAGGGGCCCAGAGGAGGAAAAGCAAAAGGGAGAAAATGGGGAAGTCACCTGAGAGTGCGTGAGGAGGAAGCCAGCACCCAGGGCGACTCATTTTCTCTTTCAGTTTCCTGTTTCCTTCTGGACACAGTTACCTAGAGGCACCTGGACGAGACTGATGATCCATCCCTCCCTCCTCTCTGGCGGCTTGTTATTGGAGCTTCAGAAATGAGGCTGGAAAATGCTGAGCACTGCCAGGCTTATGACTCAAGTCTCCAAACTCAGCAGTGTTCTGGTTAAATGGGATGTTTGCTGTTTAACCCCAAGAGAAACTGAAGCCAGATCAGCGTGCTGTAGTAGGAGCGAGTGTATGTGGCCAAATCCATCCGTTGTCCTGTGAAGAGATGTTTACATACAAGTCTCTAAGACAAGATTCTTGGACTCTAAACTTCTTATCTGGCAGGTGTATGTTCTTCCTATCTCCACAGAGTTCGTATCAATAATGGACAAATCCTAATTAAAGAGATTGTAGACACTGTGCTAAGCAGTGTTTCGGAGACAGATGATTAAGGGACCACTGCCCCTGTGGGGAGTCTCAGATTGCTGGTAGATCCAGAGAGCAGTAATGATTATCAGTAGGGCTTAGAATATGTAAAGTATTTAATTTGCAAGTGCAAAACCTATGGTGCTTCATTACAAAGGAAACAGAAAAGCATGGCCCACAAGAAATGTGCATCTGGGCTATGTTCTAATCCGAACCTTATCCCTGCTTCCTGTTTTACAGTTAGACAAAGAATTAATCAATTCGGCATTGGGTTGGGCATGGTTTGAAAGAGTGGGGCAAAGATTCACTTTCAAGTAGCACCTCTTACTCTAACACCTGCCTTCCTTGGCAGAAGAGGTCTGGTCCCTCTGCCTGGTGTTCCTCTTAGCCTGTTCACACCCTTGTTACTTCTTTAAATTATCTTCAATTATCCTATTGTTGGAACCATCCCTTACTGGTTGAGATAATACTGATGAAACTAGTATAATCTAATTTATGGTTTTGTGGCTACTGTGTGAAAAAATAGAGTATGGGACTAGTCAGGGGGTCCCTGGAGTAGGGAAGCCATGAGATACTGGAGAGCCTTGGTTGGCAGCAGTCACGGTGATAAAGAGGGGCCACACTCATTATTTCCTTTCAAAGTGGAGCCAACAAAACTTACAGATGGATTGGATGTGGAGAGACTGGAGTCAGAAATACCCCACAGACTTTGGCTCCACACCTTAATGAAGGAGTACAGAACTTACTAAGGTTGGAAACTGGGGTCTCCCGCAGGAACGCGCAAGAATTTTTTTTCTGGGCATTTAAAATTTAAAGTGCCATGTAGACATTCACATGGTGATGTCAGCAGTACCAGTCAGGAGCTCAGGGTAAAAAACGAACATTTGAGAGTTCTCAGTTTCTGTACAATTGAAATAGTGGGGCAAGATACGAGACAAACTAGATAGAGACAGACTTTACCGACAGAAGAGTTTTAAGGAATGAGCCCTGAAGGATCCCAAAATCCAAGAGTGGAGAAAAGAGAACAAAAAATGAAATAGCTTTAGGGAGCCTCCAGGAAGGCAGGAAGAATGGGTGTGATTTCACTTTTCTGGTACTCTAACACTGGGGTACTGCAGGTCGGTGTGAAAGGGGGTCTGGGATGGTGCTTGCTCACCCACGTTACATGAAGCAAGGCCAGGAGAGCAATCCTGGGAGCTCTCCCTCCAGGCATCGCCATGGCTGTGCGTAGAGATACACGCAGCCTGGGTGCACCCTGCCTCACACTTCCAGACAGGCAGTGATGAGCACACCTGCACACCCTTCTGCCTCCAGTAATGCAGATCACACGCTTCCAAGCAGTGTGCCACGAAGCTATCCGGTCTGTTTTACCTTCTGGAAGATCAATTTGACATCTCAATTATGTGTAAAAGTTCAACGAAACACATTACTATTGAATATTTTGACAAGGTCTTTCATCCCATGTTCTCACCGAGATTCCAGGAACCAAATGCTCAACCGCAATTACATAAAATGAGAAACAAAAAGAATATGCGGGCAGCTTGCCTGCTGAGTAATTGGACATGAGCCTCAGATAGCTGAGCTCCGGCAACTTGGTTGTAGCATTAGGTATCTTTTGCTGCATGACGTATTGTTCAATACTTGAAGAAGATACTTTTCACGTATCTCCATGGGCCAAGGACCAGCGCCCTAGCTGGATGCTTGGAACCCGAGGTCTGTCAAGAGGCTGCAGCCAGGGCTCAGTTCAGGGCTGAATCCTTTCCAAACTCTCTTCACATGGGTGCTGGTGATGCCAGGTCCTCTCTGGCTGTCGGCCAGAGGATCAGTTCCTCGAACCTGGGCTTCTCCACAGCGCAGCCCACAACTTGACAGCTGGCTCCCAAAATGGAAGCCTGCATTTTTTTGTAGGCTAATCTCAGGAGTGTCACAATTTTTGTCTACAATTTGTTATGCAAATGATGTTGGATACTTAGAAGGCAGTTATGAAATCCAGCCCACACTCCAGGGAGGGGCTCACAGGAGAGCCTGGAGCCAGGAGGTGGGGAAACTAGGGGCTCCCTAAGAGGCTGCCACCAATGGGTGCACCAAAGAACTGCAGTTTTCCATGTGATATATGAAGATCCATCTCTAGTTTCAGAAGTTCCATAACCACTTAGTTTACAGAAATAGAGCTGCCATGCTGCACACATCTGGAGATTGGCAGGCAATTGGGAAACAATTATGCTCTCTTCCCTAGTGCAGTGATCTCTCCCTACATCCTATCTCTATGAAACACATTTCAACTGAGCAGCAGCCTCCTAGCAGGGAACAATAACTTGGCAGTGTAGGTTATTGTAATGAACGCTTTAAACTAAGTCCCCACCATCTGTTCTGTTTCCTAATTATGAACCTACACTCATTTGCAGTTGCATCATTAAAAGTGAGAAGCTGGCAAAGTACGCTAAATGCTGTCTCACTCGTCCTCTTGATTCTAATTGTCTGAGTTGTGATATCCTGAAGTCCAAGGCTTCTCACTTGAGGAGAAGCAACATGCAAAACTATGCTCCATGTAGAACCCAAATGTATGGGATTCACCTCTGTCTCCCTCTCTCTCTCTCTCTCTCTCTCTCTCTCTCTCTCCAGTTCTCTCATGGCAAACAGGGATTCTCCTGAAGAAGTATTTTACATTTCAAATTCCCTACATGTCTTTTGTAATTTTAGCTTGCTTTAGGGATAAGGGGAGGATTTAAGCAGAAGCCCTTTAAACTGGAATTAAATTCATTTGCATGCTGTAGAACTATAGATCTCTCCTGTGAGTACAATGAGACATTTTGCAGAATTTAACTCTTCAAATATAGGTTTATTTCATGGTTTCATGAGATGAACTTTAGGCCAAAGCAAGACATACCAAGAGATGCTTAGCTTCCCAAACCATCTGCTCATACTAAGAAGATGGTACCCAGTTTGCATTCCCTGGCTGTTAGCTGTTAAGGAAAGATGGATGCCAATCATTTGAAAGGCCACCATGCTGCTGCTCAGACAATTGTGGCCCTGCTAAGCACTGACAACCTGCAGAACAGCAGTCCTCAGAGCTTCCAGGGCCACTGTCTTACCTTCACAGAACAAGAGGGAAGAATGGCTCAGCAACACGCCTCTACTATGCCCAGAGAATCGCATGCTCTGATGCCTTCTGCTCCGTCAGCCAGCAGGTGCTTCTGGTTGGTAGACAGCCAAGCAAGTGCAGTGAATTTAGTTTGGTCCTTGGGCCTCATTGGCCACCAAACCTATAGATATGCAGAGTCCTAAGGTTATTGGTCCTGTGCTGCCAGAATTGTACACAGACCAAATCGGGAGCGATAAATGACACAGGGGCCATGGAGAAAGGCTGCTGGGCTCTGGACAACCGTAAAGTCCTGACTGCAGTGGATCTTTTGTTCACCTTTCCAGCTTGCTGTTTAAGAGTGCTTTGCACAGATTCCCCAGCAACATTTTTAATTTGTCGCCCTGTCACAGGAGGTTGCATCACCCTAATTCCTCACTTTACTTGAAAGTACCGGCAGGGTGGACTCTCTCTAGAGATGCTCCCACCTGGTTACAGCTGCACTCAATTCCACTGAAGTCCGATGAGAAACAGATCACCAAACCTGCTGGCTGCGGGCTTCTGAACTTTGGTCATTAGGAGATGCTGGGCTTTTGCACCTGTGGAGGAGCAGCTGTGGGCCCAGGGTGCCAGCCTGTGTGGCGAAGTCTACAGGAGGGGTGAGGGCAAGACATTCCTAGGGGAGACTCATGGAAAGATGCTCAGCAGAAGTTGCCGAGCCTCTCCACTAGCTTCCCATGGATTTTTCTTTATTCTGGGTGGTGTGAAAGCTTCCTCCCCTTTGTGGCATGGAAACTAGGTCGGTGCACCTCAACTCTTGTTAATAAGTTGCTCGAGATCATGGGCTCTGGGGCTGGAGGACAAACCACAAGCATGGCTGAGATTCGACGTGGAGCAAAAACAGATGAGCACCCACTGCAAATGGGTATTTTCTACAGGAAGTAATTAAAGATGTGGAAGAAATACACACTTTCCACTACAGCCAGTGGATATTCTTTGAGTAAAATATTGTGATTTAAATAAGCCCCTTAAAACATTTTTTTTGGTTTGAGAGTAATGGATGTTCTTTAGGGATATAGGTGCACCTTTTTCCCTAGGTGTTTCTTTGCTCATCTTATCACACCCTTGGAGGTGGCACAAAAGTTTAGACCCATTCTCTGACTGCAGCTACTTGGAGGTCAGATGTAAACTGATTGAGGAGGTGGAGCCCAAACACAAGGTCCCGAGCCTGGACCCCAGCCCACGGGCTGGTTTTTGACTCGAGGACTCCTGACAGTGTGCAGGTTAGGAAGGTCTGAGGTTTTCAGTTTTGTATCGTGTTTTACAATTGGCAGAATTTCTCCTGTGCTGTTCCTTTCATGTTATAGGGGGTGTAGGACGAGGAACTACTACTGGGATCAGGTGAGGACCAATGTGGTGTAGGACTGATCATTGTGGAATCTGTAAGAATGTGCAGAATGTTCCGAGTTGTATAAATTCAAACTGACCCAAGTTGTATGTTTTCAAATCCGTGACTGCATTGCAGCAAATCACATCTGCTGACTGCAGGGCACTGTTAAGATCTGACAGGGTTGGTCAGAGGCTGCTTCACGTTTGTACCAATGAACAACCACACTGGATCCTGCAGTTTGATCCTTGTAGTAAGAAAGTGCTTAACAAAATCTAAACAAAATCTCCCTACTCTCATACCTATTGGCAAAGCTATTAGCCAATCTCTACATTATTAGAATCTGTCTTAACTTGAAGGCAGCAATTGGTTCCTAGTCCTCACTTTCTTATATCCATGAAGACATAGCTTCCTGGTGCACCCTCTTTGGAGTAGGGATGATGTATTTCACTCTCCACTACAGTTGATAGAGTGGCCTGGGCTGCTTATTTCAGGGTCTTGAACACATAATGGGGAGCACTGTGGCTCCACCCAGAGCACAGTGGTTCAGCAGGAGCACCCTAAGTTTCTGCAA